TCTTGAATCGATACAACAACGCCTTGCAGCACCACTGGTGGTAGCGGGCAGCAAACTTGCTCATTTCGATCGGCAAGCTCAGGCGGATCCAACAAACGACGCTGCCGACAAGGCTGGGGAGGAGCATGAGGGACGGGCATCGCCGCCATCTGACCGAAGTAGAAGGGTAACGGTAAGATTCTGTGGGCCGAGATGTGCTGCCTGCAGGAATAATGTCTTGGCCAATCTCAAAAGTTGCGCCTTATTGTACTTGGCGCGCCTGAGCCGGCAAACACTTGTTGCAAAGTTCGAGTTTGCCGTCCCTTCCCGCTCTTTTTCACACCGTACTGGCAAGTGATGACTTGCGTTTTTTCGGCCGAGAGGGGCTCTCGCTTCTTCTCCATCCGTTAAGGTGGCGCTTCGCAGTCTTCATTTATTGTAGACTCCTGAGAGAGCAAATTGGAATCCAATTTGTTCGGTGCTGCATTGCATTGCCCACTGATTCGAACGCACTTTTCATTTCCCAAGATTATGGAGAATGCAGTGCCTGGCGGTTCTTCGGCCGCATCCACCAAGAAGAGACGCTGGTCCGGCTCAGCGTCCTACGCTGACCAGCTGGTGACCGATCCGGCACTTGATGTGCCCATTATTATTACTGCTGTTGGGAAGGGTGCGCCCACCACATCACGATCATCTGCATCATCCACATCATCATCATCTTCACCTTCACCTCAAAACTCCGCCAACAACAAAAAGCGGCGGAGGGACAGCAACGACCCCACCACCGCCGGCGATAGAGATGCGGGGCAGCTGCAGCGGCAGGTGCTCTTGCCACAACGCCGCAGTCTCCCCATTTGGGAAGGTGCCGTGCCGCCACTTGCGCCCGTTGTTTGTGCTGCGCTGTGTCGCTTCCCTTTGTTACCTTTGTTCATCAGCTAACACACACGGGGACATGCCCTGTGCATCATCATGGTGGTCACAGCCCGGCAGCGTTTGATCGAGGAGGTGCGCAGCAGCCGTGCAGTCATCATCGTAGGAGAGACAGGAAGCGGAAAAACCACCCGTATGCTCACGCCAACTCTTCTCCACTCTCTGTGGTGGTTGATGATGACCTAATTTGCTGATGGGCCTAATCGTCTGATGGCTCCGTGTGTGTATCGTGTGTGTGTGTGTGTACGCGCGCGCGACTGCGTAGAGCTACCGCAGTTTCTGCACGAGGCGGGGCTTGCCAAGACTGGAATGGTCGGTGTGACGCAGCCCAGGCGTGTGGCGGCGATGACAGTGGCCAAGAGAGTGGCGCAGGAGATGGGCACCCAGCTCGGCGAGGGTGTGGGCTACACCATTCGTTTCGAAGACGTCACCTCTCCGAACACCAAGGTTCGCCGTTCCCTTCGATTCCTGGCTGCTGGTGGGCACGCCTCGCTGCTGACGATGCCGTGGGTTGAATTTCTCTCCTCCTGAATAGGTCAAATTCCTCACCGACGGTATGCTGCTGCGAGAGGCCATGCTCGACCCCATGCTCAAGAGCTATTCTGTGATCATTCTCGATGAGGCTCACGAGCGCACACTCCACACCGACGTGCTCTTTGCACTCATCAAGGTACACACCTTCAATCAGTAGTGCGCACCAGTGGTGGATATCGGCTGCAGTGCATTTTAAGCTCATCGAGAGTACTCACCAACCACGTGGTTGGATGACAAAATACTGCACCTTAGGGCATCATGGTCAAGAGGAAAGACCTACGACTGGTGATCATGTCTGCCACCTTGGAGGCGGAGAAATTTGCTGAATACTTCAGGTGCGCAGCACTTTGCAATTACCGGTCGAGGTTCTCGTTCTCACAATCCTGATCCCCCCCCCCCACCCACAAACCTCTGCTTCTTCTAGTGCGAAGGTGCTTTACGTCGCTGGCAGACAGTTCCCCGTTGATGTTTACTACGCCGATGAAAAAGAGGTCCAGCCCCTCTATCTTGTGTGACCCTCTTCTCGCTTGCTGATGGCCTCGTGTCCGTCGTGGTGTCACAACAGGTAGATTACATGGACGCCGCACTTCTTACGGTTCTTCAACTTCATCTGGAGAAACCCGCAGGCGACATTCTGCTCTTCTTGACGGGTACGACGTGACTTCATTGGTCTCAATCAGCCCTGAGTGATCGTTTGTGGTCACCCTCAACATCCTCTCAGGTCAGGAGGAGATCGAACACATGACCAAACTGCTCGAGCAGAAGGCCCGCACTTTCGGCCCTGAGGCCATGAAGGCACGCCGCAGCTTCAGTCGTTTCTGTTCTTCTGATGTGTGCTGATCTGTCTTCGTTAATTTCTCTTTCCTTAGTTGCTCGTTTGCCCGATTTACGCTGCCCTACCGCCTGAGAAGCAGATGGAGGCCTTCACCAAGGCCCCGCCAGGCTGCCGTAAGGTTGTTCCCCTTTCTGTGTCCGTCTATTTTGTATATGTGGCCATTTTGTACTATTACTATTACTATTACTATTACTATTACTATTACTATTGTCTAGAGCAAAGTGAGCTCACGGCCACGAGAACGTTCAGGTGATTCTGGCCACCAATATTGCGGAGACCTCCATCACGATACCCGGTATCAAATACGTCATCGACACAGGAGTCGTCAAGGAGCGCATGTACAACGCCAAGATCGGTATGCCTAACTCAACTCCGGCGCGGAGACGACCTGGAGGGGACTGACATTGTTATCTTGTGCATGGTCAGGCATTGACTCATTGACGGTGGTACCGGTCTCCAAGGCCGCCGCTCGCCAGCGATCAGGACGAGCAGGACGAGAGGTACGCCCACGACGTCCTGCCCTCAATCACACACGGATGAAAGCAAGGCAAGTGCACCGGCGCCGCCTCTCTCAACTGACTCATCGTGTCCGCACACAGAGCGCTGGCGAGTGCTATCGTCTGTATCGCGAGGAGAGCTTTCTGCGATTCGCCGAGTCGCAGGTTCCCGAGATCAAAAGGTAGCCGTCCTCTCCGCCTCTCCTCCTCGCGAGGCCGTAATAAGCTCACCACCTCGCCTGCTTCGTCCACGCGTAGAGCAAACATGGCCAGCGTTGTGCTTCAGCTCAAAGCGCTGGGCATTCAAGACGTCACCCGATTCGACTACATGGACCCTCCGCCGTTGGACAGCCGTACGCAGCCCACTTATTGGTGAGAGGTGATGGTATCGCATAGTTAACACAGCAGAGCTGACACTGTTGCACGCAGTGAAAAAGTCAATCGAGCTTCTCACAGTGCTCGGTGCTTTGGACAGTGAGAACAAGCTCACTTCCCCGATCGGTACGCAATTCAATTTTTGTCTTTCACTAGTATTCTCTTTAACCCCGTTCCTACTTGTCATGCAGGACGGAACATGGCAGCGCTGCCTTTGGATCCGCTACTCTCCAAGACGCTTATCATGTCCGAGGTATGGTCCCTTCACTATTCACAAATAGTTCTGGACCACAAAGAGAGAGAACTAATGTTATGACTTTCCTGGTGAAATAGAAATTCGGTTGCACTGAGGAAATCTTGATCATCGTGGCGATGCTATCGGGAGAGTCCATCTTCTTCGTGCCGCGGGGCGACAAGAAGAAGCAAGCTGAGCTCGCGCACCGGCGCTTCCACTCCATCGAAGGTAACCCAACTTTGCCTCAATCTGCCTCGTATATCGGCTGTTGTTGACTATGTCCACGGCTGTTGTTGACAGGTGACCACATCACACTGCTGAACATCTACAAGGCCTATCAGCAAGCCACCAACAAGAACAATTTTTGTTATGAGAGCTTCATCAACTCCCGCACCATCAAGCACATCCAGGTGCGGCGCCTCTTTAGAGACTTTTTTAGCCCCAACGTTGGGTCACGCTTGGCGTGTTGTCCTCACACGCATACCACGCACGTTTATTCGTTGTACCTCATCCGTTGTGCAGGAGGTGTGGCGGCAGCTGGGCGACTACTGCAGACAGCTCGGCATTGAACGCAAGTCCTGCGGCGAGAACACAGAGGTACGACCCTCCCAACGTCCTCCCCCTCCTTGAGAGGCTGGTCTATGCTGCCGCTGACCTGGAGAGTCCAGACCATCAGGCGCTGTCTCACGTCGGGCTTCTTCCTCAAGGCCGCCGTGCGGCAAGAGGACGGCCTCTACAAGACTCTCGTTGGCAACAAGGTTCCCCCCCCCACATCAGCACCCCAACAGGCGCCCTCTCGCTCACTCTTTCCTGAACAGTTGGCCAAAATCCATCCCTCGTCTGTGCTTTTTACCAAGAAGCCGCTCTGCGTTCTTTACAACCAGCTGGTACCTAGCTCCACAAAGCTGCTTCTGCCTCCCAACCACGCGCACCTCACCAACAGGAGCGTTATGTCTGATCCTTAACTGTTTCTTTCTGTGCGCATTGCAGGTGATGACAAAGCAAAAGTACATGAGGGAGGTGGTGGTTATTGACCAAAACTGGCTAGTGGAGCTTGCTCCTAACTTCTACGCCAAGCGCTCCGTTGTAGGTTCCCACAGACAGGGAAAGTAGTGGTAGTGCCACCAGCATTTTGATCAGTGCACCTGGGTCACTTGTGACTTTTAATTCCCTTCAGAAGTTTATAATTTCCATGCTTTAAGGCCCTTTCTCTGTTGCCCCCCCCCAAAGCTGCCTGCACACTGCACCCTGGTGTGTGGATTCAAGAATGCAAAGTAATAAATTTCAATTTTGACAATGACTGTGATATTCAATGTTCTCACTGATGTCCAGTACACTGGACCTAAGGTCACTATTTGACCTTGCAATCACTTTGATGTGTTGCTTTTTGCCTTACCTATCTATACCATTTTTCTCATTGTTGACAAGACTATATTATCTGTATCTCTCTCTATCTATATCTCAATATAGAGAGAGAGAGAGAGATAGGAAATAGGCGGCGGCTCGTGGGGGCTCCAGCAGCATTGTTGGCAAGAGACATGCAGTTGGGGTCACACTGAGTGGCAAACACACAACAAATTAGTATGTGTGTGTGTGTGTGTGTAGTTGTTGGTGGTGCATTGTTGCCAGCAACTATACTACTACATACTACTACTATTACAACAACAACATCAAGAAGAAGAAGACCAATGTCATCATCCTCCAACTCTTGTCCTTGGTGCTCAGCAGTGACCTACACCCCCACAAACTGCTCTGTGTCATCAACCAGTGCTTGTCCTACCACTATGGTGCCATGAACCAAGACTTGCCCCAAGTCTTGACTTGCTGTCTTGCCAACTCGCTCATTTGACTCAAACACAACGCACGCCAAGCATGTCATGTCAAGCATGTCATGTCATGCTGCATCCTGCTGGTGTCAGTGCACAACTGGCTTGACATGAGCTCCCCCAGCACTGAGCCTCATGTGCAATTGTTGGCTGATGGCATGGAGTGTGCTTGGGCCAAAAGTGGCAAGTGGGACTTCTGGTGTGACCTGTTCCTGGTGGAGGTGCTCATCCTAGGGTCTGGTCTCTGACCATCTCCTGTTTGTCATGACTAAGTGAGCAATATAACTGAAGTTGTTGTGTGTAGTGACAACAACGCAGTTTATTGCAAGTGAGGTTTTTTCTAGGATTGTGTTCTCCATCG